GAAATGTCAGTGGACTTAGCAGTGTTTTTAAAAGTCCATGCGTGGTGCAGGCAGCTAAATCCATTTGGTGCAGTGGTTATGAGCTGCAGACTCTAATCTGGAGAACTGGGTTTGATTCCCCGCAGCTCCACATGCAGCCAGCTGGGTGACCTTGGGTGAGTCATAAGTTCTCTCAAAGCTGTTCTCTCAAGAGCAGTCCTCGAAAGAGTCCTCTCAGCCCCACCTACCTCACAGGCTGTCTGTTGTGGGGAGAGGAAGGGATGGAGATTGTAAGCTGCTCTTCGCTCTCTTCTTCGGTGTGGTGTAGTGGTTAGGAGCGTGGACTCTCATCTGGGAGAACCAGGTTTGATTCCCCCACTCCTCCTCCACATGCAGCCAGCTGGTGTGACCTTGGGTCAGTCACAGTTCTCTTGGCGCTGTTCTCTCAAGCGCAGTCCTTGAAAGAGCTCTCAGCCCCACCTACCTCACAGGCAGTGTTCCCTCTAAGCTGAGTTAGCGTGAGCTAGCTCACAGCTTTTTAGTCTCCAGCTCAAACATTTTTGTCTCAGCTCAGGAAGGATGGGGCTCCAGAGCAAACTAGTTTATGCAGTAGCCAAAGCGCTCGCTCACAACTTTAATGACAGTAGCTCACAAAGCGGAATTTCTTCTCACAAGACTCCACAGCTTAGAGGGAGCGTTGCTCACAGAGTGTCTGTTCTGGGGAGGGAAGGGAAAGGAGATTCTTCAGCTCTTAATGCTGATCTCTTCTTACTAAACTCCTGCCCCTTCAGATGAATCTATTTGATCTTGATTGTGGCGCCTAACAGAAAGTTAGAACTTAGAGGCACTTTCTTAACTAAGGCATCCAGCCTTTAGTAAGGAAAACTGGTAATTCTTCTTAGTAGCTGCTCACTTTGGGTATCTAGACAAGAATGATTTGACACTGGCTGTAGAGATTCAAAGAACTCCTAGTCCCTAGTTATTTGCAAACTTCTGGCACTGAGCACCCAAAAAACCTCTTTTCAAAAACATCCAGGGTTATCAATTTTATTCATTCAGAATATTATTTCAGCTATTACATTTTTGTAACTTTTCAGCCAGCCAGAGTCGTTGTGGCTTTGATATGAGTTCATATAGGGACAGCCAAATGATACTGCCCATTTGCAGTTATTTTGCAAATCTGTTAAAGGCAAAGAACATTCCAGACCTGTGTTTTTCTGGTCAGCTGACTACTTGAAAACAAGGCCTCTTCCTTCAGGCATGTTCAGCGGTCTTCCACATGCACACCTGCATCATAGCAGGCATGTGAGCTCTGAATTCTGCACCCAGACACTCCCAACTCTGCAACTACAAGGGCAGGTTTCGCAGCTGGAATGAAATACCCAGTTGTGGAAGCGGATGGGGATTTGCATGCTTGCACCAGTTATTCTCTGAGTATGTGGGGGGAGGAGGGGGAGGAGGGGGAGGGGGAATCGAAACCCTGGCGTCTGCAGCATTTCCTGAAGGACAGAGGATGCCTAGAAGGCTGGCATGACTGTAGCAGAGGGTTGACTGACATGATCTCTGGGAAGAAGACGGTCAGAGAAACGCCCAGGCAGAGTGGCAGTATTTGAGATAAAAGTCTGTTAGGGCAGTGCTTCCCAACTTGTGGGTCGGGAAGCCTGTGAAAGTAGGTCTCAGGCTTCCGCAGTTTTGTTGATTTGTGCAGGCTCTGCTTTTTCAAAAAATGGGTCGCTACGCCTAGTAAACTGAGAGTTGTGGGTCACCCTACTGAAAAGGCCGGGAACCGCAGTGTAAGGGGGAGGAAAGAGATGGGAAAATTGGGGACATTAGTGGAATAAGTTGTGGGACATAGTTTGCCATGCTAATGGCGTCACAGTGACCTGAGTGGACCAAGGCTTAGCCCAGCCTCCTCAGATCCTGCAAGCGAAGCAGGCTCAGCCCTGGTTAGGACTTGGGCAGGAGACTACCAGGGAAGCCTGCAGGCAGGCAGTGGCGAGACGCCTCTGAACATCTCTTGCCTTGGAAACCCTGCAGGGTGGCCCTCAGTCAGTTCTGACTTGAAGGTACTTTTTTCTTTAAAGGCATCATAGAAAGGTTCGTCCCTGAGCCTTTTCCCTACGAACATGCGCAGCTTCTGTTTCCAAGCAACCTGCCTTCGAATCCATTCTTGTTTTCCCCTGTTGACAAAACCAGTGGCTGAAAAGTATGCTTGCGTGCAGCCAAGCCAAGGCGGCTCAGTCTCAGATGCTTACTGTGTTTCTAATTAGATTCTTTCTTAAAAGTGTGCTTCCGAAATAGGCCGACTAGCTCTGTTCTATGTACTGTTATAGTCCACATGTTGTGATAAATACATGCTGGATTCACAAGCGGCCATATCTCCCAGGGCCAGTTCCCCTTCTCCGAGGGCATGTACACACATCTTAAGTAGGTGTATAAACACACCGTTCTGGAAGCAGTTTCCACTCTGAAGTGTAGACAGGACAGGAGTGACGCCCCATTTCCTCTTGCACAGAGTACCGGTGTGAACGGCAACCCAGCCTGCTGACAGGCACACATAGAAATCCCCCTAAAAGACTCCAGGACAACCCTTTGCCTTAAACTCGGTGGCCCTGTTCATTGTTTTCCTGGGCTGCAGTTCTGCTAACAGAAGCCACGTAACAATCAAAAGAACTCCTCTGGAGCTCCATGACAACCATGTCTCCTTGTTTTTTATCCTCAAAAGCTGTGCCTGGCATTTGCACGTTTGCTTTTAGGGCGCTGGGAAGTGAAAAGCTATCTTCCAAGGGCAGAGTTAACAAGAAAAGGTCCATCACAAGATGCATCTTAATAACTACCAAATGGATCATTAAACAGTGGCAGCTTTGTTGATGCTAGGAGAAGTTTGAAGCAGACTGATGTGGGCATTTGAAAGTTTCTGAGCTTCACAAAATTACTCATATGGCAAAATTGTGGCATACTAATTTCAGCACATCTAGTACAATAGTCCAATACAAGCAATCAGGACATCAGTAAAAGAAAATAGAACAAGAGATTTAAGACAGTCATTCCGTAGTAAGGGGTGGGCATGATGTCAAGAGCACAAACTTCCCTGGGCAGCACATGTGTCCAGACAAGTTTTCCGTGCGACCTTGTACATCCACAGAGTGACTTTTACCGTTATTCCTGAAGATGCAGCCTCATTCCTAAATAAGCCAGACATCTGGACATTTTGTCTTGACCTGGATCCAGCCTGTGTGAGGCGTGCGTGTGCTTCCTAAAAGTTGCAGAGTGTCAGATAGGCCTGGGGGAGGGGGAGTGGTGGATTCGTTTGACTTGTGTCGTTTCTGCGAGGACAGAAAAATGACCCCCATCTCCTGTTTCTCTGTTTGGTTCTCCACACCACACAAACTGACCAGCTTTGGAAATGAGATCTCACTTCCCCTCACACACACACACACACACCCCGCAGGGATGTGTAAAATTTTCTCAAAGAAAACATGATGTGGGGTTTCCCCAGGAATGTTTTGCCTGCTTTTCAGAGTGGACGGACTTCTGTTGGCCTCGCGAATGTCATCTAAAGTGCTCTTCCAGCCTGTTGAGTCCTTGAGCCCCATGTTTCTACCTTGGCTCCAAAACCATCATGGTGGTTCATAAAACGTTTCTGTCACGAAAGCACACAGTCAGAAGGCTGGGAGACCTCCTCCTCCTCCTGAAGGACCAACCATGATCGCAAATGTATTCGCAAAAGTATTCGCCATGACATGGGACATTTTCTTTTAAATATCTGGGCTTGAGTTTCAGTGGCCAGAGCAAAATCAAAGAACGACGGGGGAGATTTTAATTGTGGTTTTAATCGTTGCTGTTTACCTTTTCCACACACTGTTCTCTAACTCTGAGCCTTTGGGGTGGCCAAGAGGTGAACACCTGAACCAGCGGATCTTCCTGTCACTTACCTCGGGCGTCTCTCCCCCCACCCCCGAAATCCCATGTTCCTTATAAGGAACCCTCTCCCTCTCATAAAGGCAATTTATTATTACTTAGTTGTAGTATGAAATTTGTCAGATGGTTATAAGTGTCATTAATGGTCACTTCAAACTGAATTAATTTGCTGTTAATTACTGTGAGTGACTGTGACAGAAAAGAAAAACATTGATCAGTATTAAATAGCTGATTGGCGAAGGGAGCCCGCAGCGAGCGCATTAGCGGCTCATTAGCTGCAGGGCTTCCCGGTCCCTGTCGGAAGAGGCCGCCTTTGCTTCCAGCTGCGGCTTCTCTGATGGCTGGAGACTTCGGGTTCTTTAAGTGAAAGGAAGATGATTGAACAGATATAAAAATGACAAACTCAATCAAGAAACCATCCATCCTGGATTTATATATTTCAAACCAAAGCAAAAAATGTTTCCTGTTCCAAATCTGTAAGTGCGGACGTGTGTGCACACGAGAGAGAGAGAGAGAGAGGACGTCAGGCTGTTTCCAACTTAATGGTGACCCTGTGATTTAATGACCTCCAAAATATTTTATTGTTAACAGTCTTACTCAGTTCTTGCAAACTGAAGGCTGCAGCTTCCTTTATGGAATCAATCCATCTCATGTTGAGTCTCTCACTGTTTCCCGTTGCCTTCAGCCTTTCCTAGTATTACTGTCTATTACAGTGGGTCTGGTCTTCTCATGATGTGACCAAAGTTTAGTCATTCTAGCTTCTAGAGAGAATTCAGACTTAATTTTGGTCTAGAACCCACTTATGTGTCTTTTTGGTGGTCTACAGTATCCATAAAACTGTCCTCCAACACCACATTTCAAATGAAGGCTATTTTAAAAATCTTGTCTATGTCTTGTATCGACTCTCTATCCTGCTTTTTTTTAACCAAAGAATTAGTTTGCGCAAGCAAGTCAACTCCCACCGTTTTTTTTGAAACCACCGTTCACCTCTGAAGAGGTGCTGTGGATCCTTCCCCCACAGAACACAGGGCAGAGGAGAAAAGCCGGTGCTGCTGGTCTCATTCCCTCCCTCTCTGCTCCCTGCGTTCCCAGGGAGATGGATGACCGTGTTCTTCTCTTCTATGACAAGCGTTCTGGAAGACCTGGGATGCCCCGAGTCAGCCGAAGAGAACTTTGACATGGAGGCCTTTGTCGAAATGATGGGAGGCCTACGTCCCGGGCTTTGCAGACATCAACAGGTGGGTGTTCAAAGATGGGCTCCCACCTGGTGCTGGACCAAAGATCTCATTCTGTGTTGGGGGGTCTCACTGTGCTGTGGTGCACATCTTTCAGAATCCAGACGCTTTAGCCACCTTACGGCAAAGCTTGGTCCCTCCCCACCCCCCCGCCACCCCAGGGAGATGTGGGCATGTTAAACGGTAGGCACGGTGTCCCTGGAAAAGGTCTTCTTCCTGTGCGTCCTCTTTCTCCTTGGTCATTAGATCAGGTTTCTTAGCCAGCGGATGACTCAGAGTTCAGTTCATAACGCCAGCATGGTCTGTAGCTAGAAGCTCCACAAATGTTGCAGGAGTCAGACTGGGGGTCCGGGAGGCCCCGGTTCAGGCCCCCTCTCCACTGGGGAAGCCTGCTGGGTGACCCCCGGGCACAGACAGGGTCCTTGTGAGGGTCAAGTGGAGGAGAGGAGGAGGTCAGCCGCCCTGGGCCCCCCGTGGGGAGGAAGGTGGGGTAGAAACGAAGGACGTGAATAAAACAGTGCATTTACTCCAAAGGCCCCCCCCTCCACCTGCTTCCATTGCCCTGGACTGCTTGGTTCCTAGGAAAGGTCAGATTTTGGAGCGCCTGGGGATCACTAAGAGGACATTCCTGGTTCTCGCCTCTTCCTGACGCACTCCCAGGCACTATAGCGGGAGGGGGCCCAGCCTGCCACAAACACACCCAAAGTTGGTCTCGTGCTCCAAGCAAACCATTCTTTTCCTTCTAGTGGGGAAGTTTGCGAAATGATGTTTTCCCTCTCAGGAAGACTCTTGTGAAGCTTGCAGCAAGCGTAAGTCCTACGGTGAGTACTCGGGCACAAGACACGATTGGCTGACTGTGAAGGCCGCTATGCAAAGTGCCCGTCTCTCCTCTTCTGGTGGGCAGAGGGGAAGCCAAACGCCAGGATGCTCCGGGAGGCCGATGGCCAAGAGGTCGGCTGTTGCAGCAGCCCAAATAAAGGGAAGTACATGGGGAGGCCCTGCAAGAGCCGTCATTGTGGCGGCTTCTGTGCTAGTTATCATTCTTATCTCCGTGGCCAGTGAATGCCACGATTTAATGACTTGTTGAGTGAAAACGTACTGCCTTTTGCCCATCCCGCATCTGCTGCCCTTAGTATTATGAGAGAGGGAGACTAGAAGGTCAGCTTCCAGTGCCATCTTAAGCCACCCTTCTTTGTTCAGCCCACCTCAACCTGGAGTGGGCCGCATGTCCTCTCAGAACTTGGAAGGACAGCAAGAAGTGGGGAATGTGAACTGCACTCGGGCTAGACTGGCTAGTTGTCATTCTTACCTCCGTGGACAGTGAATGCCACGATTTAATGACTTGTTGAGTGAAAACGTACTGCCTTTTGTCCATCCCGCACCTACTGCCCTTCGGGAGCTCCCACGTTCTAGTATTATGAGAGAGGGAGACTAGAAGGTCGGCTTCCAGTGCCATCTTAAGCCACCCTCTTTGTTCAGCCCACCTCAATCTGGAGTGGGCCGCATGTCCTTTCAGAACTTGGGAGGACAGCAAGAAGTGAGGAATGTGAACTGCACTAGGGCTAGACTGAACTCAGCCACACGCCTTCTTGGGCCTCAACTCCCACTAGAAACAGAAGTTTGAGTCAAGGGGATTGGAAGGCCATTTACTCAAAGGCTGGCCAAGTAGCTCACTGCAGTAAGTATTCCAGTGAGATTTTGAAACTGGATGCAAGGCAATTAAATGTGAGTACAGAGGAGCCAAGAAGCTGCAGAAGGCGGAGTCATCGCACGCCCCTCTGCACACCCAAGCCCCTGATGAGGAAGGCCTCGGCCCTCAGAAATGGGCAGTTGGGTCCTGTAAACCTCCCTGCCACTAAATTGGGTCCTACAACTCCATTGTGCTGGGTCTTCCTTTCCCCTCCTTGACGTGTCATTCAAAAACAAAACTCCATTTGAGGGCAAGGGGAATCGTTCTGGCAATTCACCCTGCCCAGTGGTTATTGGGGTCTTCTGCATTGTTCTTTTATCACTCAGGCTGATAAAGAATTGAGCTTGGCCCGAGGGGACCTGGGTCTGAGTTACATCTCTCTGACAGGCTTCTTGAGCTGACCTGCGCCAAGGCCCTGGCCGCTGAAGCTCCGCTCGCCACCCTTATAGTAGGAATACCACCGAAGAGAAGCTGCCAGTGGCGGAGCCACTAAATTGGGTCCTACAACTCCATTGTGCTGAACCCTCCTTGACGTGTTATTCAAAAACAAAACTCCATTTGAGGGCAAGGGGAATCGTTCTGGCAATTCACCCTGCCCAGTGGTTATTGGGGTCTTCTGCATTGTTCTTTTATCACTCAGGCTGATAAAGAATTGAGCTTGGCCCGAGGGGACCTGGGTCGGAGTTACATCTCTCTGACAGGCTTCTTGAGCTGACCTGCGCCAAGGCCCTGGCCGCTGAAGCTCCGCTTGCCACCTTTAGAGGAGGAATACCACTGCAGGGAAGCTGCTGCTGGTGGCGGAGAGAGTTGTCAAGGCACAGCTGACTCACGGCAACCCCTTATGGGGCTTTCAGGGCAAGAGATGAACAGAGCCGCCATGGCCTCTGCCTCTGTGGACTGACCGTGGACTCCCTTGGTGGCCTCCTGTCCACATACTGACAGCTTAGATGGGGCCAGCCGGGGGCCTCCAGGCCAGTAATCCCCCGTGGTGGGGTGCCCATGGGTGCCGTGGCCTGCACTGGCATGCTCCCTGCTGCTTTCCCCAATCGGCGCCAAGGCCCTGGCCGCTGAAGCTCCGCTTGCCACCTTTAGAGGAGGAATACCACTGCAGGGAAGCTGCTGCTGGTGGCGGAGAGAGTTGTCAAGGCACAGCTGACTCACGGCAACCCCTTATGGGGCTTTCAGGGCAAGAGATGAACAGAGCCGCCATGGCCTCTGCCTCTGTGGACTGACCGTGGACTCCCTTGGTGGCCTCCTGTCCACATACTGACAGCTTAGATGGGGCCAGCCGGGGGCCTCCAGGCCAGTAATCCCCCGTGGTGGGGTGCCCATGGGTGCCGTGGCCTGCACTGGCGTGCTCTCTGCTGCTTTCCCAAATCGCAGCAAATCCTGGCTTTCCTCAGAGGAGCCCAAGAGGCCCAGCTGCCTCCCGCGGTCCAGGGAGCCGGGGGGCTCATGCCGACTCAGCTAAGAAAGGGGGAGAGAGAATGGGCCTCCCCACCCGCTTCCCTTTCTCCTGGCATGGCCAAGTTAACCCTCTTCCCCAAGTGGTGCTGAGTGAGCAGTTGCACCACCACGGATACAGGGGTGTGTTTTGTATCTTTTAAGAAACCACTTCTCGGAACCCTGCGCAGAACAGGAGCTGTGAAGCAGACTGCCACTAAGGAAGATACGACAGACTGTCGTGTCCACCAGTAGGGGGAGCCCCAGCACAGGTAGGGGCTTGTAGGCAATGGTTTCTCTGGCCACCTCCTGATGATAGAGTTCTTTGTGGAATTCTCCTGGCCCCTCTGCCATGACGTCATAGCTGATTGCACACCTGAGTTGGGGGGGAGGCACATAAATGAATATTTGTTTCTCATTCCATGACTGGGGAAATTGAGGTTTTCCCTATGGTAGCACATAGCTGTCCAAATTGAATAAGGACAAGCAGTGTGCTGGCATCCTGGCACAGGGTAGGGTGAAAGCCCCATCCTAGGATGAAGACGGGGACGAGATATAAACTTGGGTGCTTTGGAGGTTTGGGGCCCCCTCCCCCCCAAAAAAGAATGTGATTTAACTGCATCTTACACTTGGGAAGACTTTGTGTTGTCCCTTTGGAGGATTCATACTTGGGGACTGATAACGCTGACAGATTAACTGGGGCCGCTTTGGTCACAGTTTGAGAAAGAACGGTGTTGATCATTGGATTAGCTGTTAGGGAGCCAGTTTGCCAAGGGCCCAGACATGTACTTTATGCGCACCCTTGGGCAAAGGAGCCCCCCCACTGCCACTGGGCACGTGGCCTTTGATGTGCCCTTGTGCTTGAGGAGGGGCCATGGGGGGCGGGGTGGATCCCACGAGCAGCAAGGCAAGCTTGTCCTGTAGCCCTGGGCTCCGGCAGGTGCACAAACACCACGCACCTCTCGGCCTTCTGTCAGCTGACTCTTTAGCGGAGGGATCAAGTGGGGCACGTGGCCTTTGATGTGCCCTTGTGCCTGAGGAGGTGCCACGGGGGGCGGGGTGGGTCCCACGAGCAGCAAGGCGCAAGCTTGTCCTGCAGCCCTGGGCTCCGGCAGGTGCACAAAGACCACGCACCTCTCGGCCTTCTGTCAGCCGACTCTTTAGCGGAGGGATCAAGCAAATGCGTCATCAGAGATTATGACTAAAAATTACAGGTAATTAATGACTCTACTGGGGGTTAAATTGATCCCCATGCTTACTGAGGTCATATAAAAATTTTTGATTACAAAAATACCTTGAATTGGGCTGAATCTGGTTTTAAAATGTCTGGGTTTTATCGTACGACTCCCTTCTGTCAGGTCCAGTGGAGAAAAACAAAATCATTCTGTTCAAGGATAAAGTAAAAATTTTGACTTTTTAAAGGCTTGAGGCCATGCGAGTAAATTTGAGGCAAAAGATATTTAAGAAATGAAAATGTTAAAAAAATTGGGGTACCACAGGACTCAAGAACGTGCTTTCAGACCAACAGAACTGGCTCAAGAGAAGAGGAACGAAAGGCAGTGAGCCACTAGGCGGTCTGAACGGGAACCTTCCCCCCCCCCGGCCTCGACATGCAGGTGGGACTGGGGGGATGCTGGCATTGGGGGAGGGGGTTGTTGATGCTCTTGGTGTGCTGGAATGGGACCGGCTCACACAGCGGCTCAGGTGGTCGAAGGGAACCATCTCGTGGTCCCGTGTATTTTCTTTATGGAACTGTATTAGCTTAAAGAGGATTCAAGGGGACTTTTTAAAGGCTTGAGGCCATGTGAGTGAATTTGAGGCAAAAGATGTTTGACTAAGAGGCAGAAAATATTTCAACAAAAGAAAACCAGGTGACTTGGCATTCCATCTCCGCTTCCCCGTCTTGTAAAATGAGAGAAAAATCACTCCCTCACAGTTTTGCTCGGAAGAAGGATTTTAAACTGATAAGGAAAAAATGGGAGAACATCACCCTTCAGGCCTCCCCATACTTGAGTCTGCACATGCCCACATGGCTGGCCCACTGGGAAGGGGCAAGGGAGGTCACGGAGGCCAGGGGCCCTTAGGAGGGCATGTCCCGAACTTAGAGAGCAGGGGGGAGGGGGGGGGGATAGGTTGACAGCCTAATGCCAGTGTCCGAAAGGCAGGAGGCTTTTCCACCGTCTCAACTGGTGTTTGCTTGTAGTGCGCATTCAGAAGCCTTTGGGGGTGTGCGAGACCCTTCTACTTAAACCTGAAGCAAAGATGAAGGACAGAATTCTCGTTTGTGGCATTTGAGTTCTGTATTTCTCACCACAGATGCAGAAGTTGAAATACAGGCAGCCAGCCTCAAGTCTCGGCCAGGGTGTAAAAGCACAACTCAACATTTCCTGTTTGATTTTTTCCAAAAATAACAGATTTGAACTCACTGTTGGCTCCAGTCACCCGTCTGGTCTTCGTTTCCCCCCCACTCACGCCCTGGAGAGAGAAGCGGGGGGGGGCCTCCTGGGAGGTGGAGGCACAGAGCGACCTGCCCACAGTCCCTAGTGGGGCGGCACAGACACCGAGGAGGTCTCCTCTGGCGAAGACTTCTCAAGCACAACAGTTTTGGCGAGCAACACTGCCTCCTGCCAAAGAGGGTCAAACGTGGAATTTTAGAGACCAGCTTTAAATGGGAAGGCCCCCACACTTCTGCCACAGGCAGGGGGTGGCCCAGGGACCTCTCTTCTGACAAGTGAGGAGGGAAAGGCGCACTCTCCCCCCACACACACACATGTGCCAAAGCCTGGCACCTGCATGCTCCGTGCAGGGAGAAACTAGGAGATTCTCAGCAGCAAGGGGCCAGCCCTTCCCTGGAAAGCCCCCCCCCCCAAACCAGGAATGCTTGCAGAAACTCAAGAGGCAATTTTGCTCTGTATTGTTGCAGGTACATGATGGTGGGTAGGGAAGAGGATCAGAAGACGCACGAGCCAGCCCCGCCAAAGGGGGTGAGTGGCACAAGCCCATCACGCCCAGGCCAGGGGAGGGGGACCGAGCACCATCCTCCAAACCCTTCTTGGCAGCAGTCAGGGAGTGCCTGAAGAGGACCTGGCCCCCCAGAAGGGAAGAGCAGCCTAACCGGCTGCCATCGGGGGTGTACAAAGTCCCGTGGCGGGGTGCCCGTATGGCTGGCTGGCCTTGCACAGCTCTGCCTTTGCCTTCCTGGCAGAAGGCAGAGCCCCAGGTGACAGAGGTGACTTCTCCAGGACTGGCAGCAGGTGCCGGTTTGCGTGGGCGTTTCTGTTCTGCACACAGGCTGCATTTTGCCAAGAGAGCGTGCCCGCCATCAGCGAGTCGGCCCCAGCTCACCACTCGCTAGAGACATGGCCACCGGCAGAGGGACTCCGGCGACACACACACTCTCTCAACGGCTGCGTGTCACAAAATGCAAAGTTCTGAGCAGGCCTCTCTCTCCAGGCGGCCTCCACTCAGGACAGGTAAAGCCACCGTGTGCCCCTCCGCCTTCTCAGGGACGGGATCGTTCCATCGGAGTCCACTCTGAGATGGCAGCAGAATTGCCCGGCAGAATTGCCACACCTCAACCTAACACCCAGGAAGCCATACAGAGATGCAGCAGCCAGCCTCCAGTGGGTGTACTGCTGCACGGGGCCTTTGACCTCTGGCAGCACACAGTCCAAGAACGACGCGTGCCAGGAGGAATCCTGCCAGCCGCCCGTGGGGAGTGAGGGCCCAGGCACCCAGCTACGGCAGCCTCGGTTCCCCTTCTCTCCTCTCCAGGCTCCCAAGAAGTTGATTCGCTGCATTGATAACCAGGTAGTAAGCACCAAAGGGGAGCGATACAAGGACATCCGGAAGCCAGAGAGTGAAGAGAGGAGGAGAACATACCTCCACCTCAAGCTGGCCAGGAAACATAAATTCCACTGACTGACCCGTTCCCGTGCTCCTCCCCGACAACGGCCATCCCCTCCTGCAGTCACTCCTGAACAAGGGCTGGGACTCCTCCTGCATCCTGACCCGAGGCTCCTCCTGCCACCCCGGAAGCCGACAGTCTGCACTTGGTCGCAGGACACGCTCCGGGGCACCCAGGAGACGCTGCTGCTCCTCTGGGGCTCATCTTCCTTGCTTACGGGGAGCTAAGGGACTGGGGGGTCTTCTGCTCTTCTATATCAGAAGCCTTATAAGAAACCTGCATAATGTAGAGTCACATTCACCTAGTAGAAAGCAAAAGCTAACCGCTACGACTGCACCAGGGAAGCATACTTTCCTCTGGAGCAAAGTACCGTGCAACCTCTGAACACACATCTAGTAATTTCACTCACACACACACCCATTCCTACCAGCAGATTCAGGAAAGGTCTGCACGGGGAAATGCACACACACACACGCACATCCCTCCCTCCAGAAACCCCACGACCAAAAGCCACGCAGACGAAGGGTGCTGCCTTTTCCTTTGAGAGCAAGGCAGCAGGGAGAGAGTGGAGGGGGGGGGGCTATATCCCACTCAGCCTTCCCTCCCAGGAAGCACGGGGGGGGGGAGGTGCTCCTGTTGCCTGCTGGCCACTCTCTCACCTCTCACCACCGAGCTGTGCTTAGTAGTTGCCCCAAAGCCATCACCTATGACTGGTGGAGTTCCAGAAGAGAAAGGACTTGGTAAATGGGCTCAGCAGCCCTTTGGCTGCTTCTTGCCACCCTCATCGCACCGGGAAGACCAGAGTCTGCATACAATAAGTGAGCTGGCTGAGATGCAGATGGGCTTGCTTTTCTGACCCCCCCCCCAACACGTGCACACACTGCACACCCACACAGGCCCAACGTGCCCCACACCTCCCCACCCCTTCGCCTTCTCAGCAGCAGCGGTTTCCTCCGCTAGATCTGAAGGTTGATGAATGGGGCGTAGCCCACCACGCCCTGCAGGAGAACCACAGCCAGCTGCATCGGAGGCTCCACGTCCAGCTCCACCCCCCGGCTGCGCAGGACGCTCAGGCTGGACTCCACCACGTCGTGACAGTGCTTCACCTTCAAGGCACGCAGCTTGGGACAGTATTCCGCCAGGGTCCTACCAAAGAAGGTGGAAAGAATCAAGGTCAGTTTCCCAAACAGCCCTGCAGCACCTTGCCCAGGAGAACAGACAAGCAGCAAAGAGCAGCAAAAATAGGACTTCCCCACTTAAGATGGGCGTGGATGGGCAGCGTCGTGACAAGCAGCCGCTTCTAAGGGGCCCAACTGCAGTTGACGTCATCCAGGTCCAAATGCCTTATTCCGTGGGCGGCAGAGGGGCTGACACTGTGCAATCGGCCTCAAGTCCCAGTGAGAAAGGCAGACTATGAAGAGCGTGAATAAATAAATCCTGGAAGCCAGCAGCATTGCCGTGGCCCCTGTTCCCCATGGGAAAGGGGGCGGGGCAGAGAAGGACTGGAGTGCGGCAGAGGGTCTTTCCCCGGAAGTGTCACCGCAGCACCTTTCCTTCCAGGACTTGGCTCCCCATCACTCCTCCCTCGCCCCTGAGCCCCGAAATGCTGAAACGGCTTCCCGGCCTGTCACTCGGACTCTGGCTCAGGAGTGTCCTCCAGCAATCTAGGCAGGTGAAAACGCCAGCCAGGCCTACAGAACGCTCCCCCGGATCAGCTAGAAAATCCCTGGAGACTTCAGGGTGGAGCCGGGGAGGGCAGGCTAGACGGCCAGAGAGTCTATTTTCCAGAGCGGCTGTTTCCTGGGGGCGGGAGGGGGCCCCCCCCAATCTTCGTCATCCGGAGGGCAGCTGGAAAGGTAGCAGCCCTGCATGTATCCCTGGGTTTTGCACTGGTCCCCTCAGAAGCCCAACCAGAGTAAAGCCAGCAATAAAAGCAGGCGCTCAGCAGTGTTCCCTCTAAGCTGAGTCAGTGTGAGATAGCTCACAGTTTTTTACCCTCCGGCTCACACGTTTTTGTCAGCGCTCAGGAAGGATGGCTCCAGAGCAAACCAATTTACGCAGTCGCCAAATCGTTTTGGTCACAACTTTCATTCCAGTGGCTCGCGAAGTAGAATTTTTGCTGACAAGACTCCACGGCTTAGAGGGCGCGCATTGGTGCCCGTGGTCATGCAGAACAGGCAGGATCGACATCCAAACACACAGAATTCACAAAGGCGCGGGGGGGGGGGGGGGAGGGATCGCTGGCACATTCGAAAGACACCTCGGGCATGCTGCTGCTGAACTGCTGCCCCAAGCACAGTCTTTTCCTCTGTTTTGACGTTTCGCCTGTCCACCCTCAAAGGATCACACTTGAGCACAAGGCCACACTGACCATGCCTACAGCCAAGCCAGGCAGCTGGAGGGGACCCAACAACTCCTCCTCGGGCCTTCCCTTTCGAGGGCTTCCTCAGAAGCCAGCTTTCAGAGGTCTAACATCCCAGCCTTCTTGACAGCAGGGGAAGCGTAAGAAAGCGAGAGCAATTCCTGTTTACTGCCCAAGCCACTCAGGGACGGGGGACGGCCTCCAGGGGTCAGGAGAGCGCCGTCTTCCTTCCCCTTCCTCCAGTAGTCCTCACACCCTCCTGCCTGCCTGTGGACTCCTTCTGTTCTACCTGGAGCCACAGGGAGCCTCTCCCCCGCCCCCATTGCACTAGCGCAGTCAGAGCACAGCAGACACACCTGCAAAGCAGACATAGACATAGAGGGGGGCCTCCGCACGACATGCCCCCAAGACTATGGGCCCAGATTTCTTTTGTATTATTTAAAGTCGTTCCCATTGTATATTAATATATCCACTCTTCTTTCTCTTCATATTCTGTTGTCGCTGGCTCTTAAGTTTAAAGTATTCTACCAGAAAATATGGGTCAGCGGTCTCCTGTCATTGTCTAAAGACATTGCGTAATTGGGTTTTTAAGTATCTACTGGCATGGGTATCCCATTGGACTCTCTGTTTATACTCCCCTTTATGGGCACTTTTCAGATGATTAAACGCAGAGTCCTCGATATTGAAACACAGAGGCTTCACACGGCTTAGCCAACAAATCTTGTTCCCCCCTGGACTTTGAGATGCTCCTTACGGTAGGCCGAATGGCCCCATATCTATCTGGTATACAAGCACCGCAACAGTTTAGAGCCTTTTCTCTAGCAAGATTCAATGTATTCAAATCAATTCATCTGCATGGGAGATATAACGACATCGTATATGTGGATAGACTTTGCCGCTGCAACTCTGGATGCATTGAAACTGTTTCACATATTTGTCTGCATTGTCAATTTTATGTGGATTTACATTTTAGATATTTAAATCCTATCTTAGCCAACATGACAAACCTTCCTGATGCTTTAAAAGTGCACCGTCTTCTAAATGATTCTGTTCTGGAAATATCAATTAAAGTAGCTGTGTTTTTACAATCAGCAATAAAGCTATGTCAAGAAAACTACCAATGAGTAATTGTTTTATGCAACACTATGCAATATTATGCAGTTGGCAAAATGCTAGGCTCTATATGTATGGCTATGTATGGTTTTATGTGTATTTCTTTTTTTATAGTTATCCTCTTTTAAGGTATTTTTATGCGAATAAAGGTTAACTGAACTGAACTGAACACCTGCAAAGCGGGGGGCTGAGAGAGATCAGTACACACCACCCAGCACGAAATGTAGTCTTGCTTGGGGCAAACATCTCAGGAGATGCACTTGGCACTGTTGGCAAGCGTGTGGGGGGGGGGCTACAAGAAAATGAGCACTCGGGAGCTGCCTGCCCTGTTGCAGCCCACGCCCGGCAGTCAGGTCCACCAGCCGAGCTCCAGCTCCAGCTTACCTGATGGCGTCGTTCTTGACCCTCAGGCAGCCCGTGAGGTCCAGGTCCTCCAGCTCAGGACAACCTTTGGCG